AAAAAATATATATATATATATATATATATATATATATATATATATATATATATATATATATATATATATAAATTTACTCAAAAATGTCCAAACGCTTACTTTAATGATTTTGGCGTAAATTTTAACCGAAATCCGTTTCTGTGCACAAGAAATGCCGTAAGCTAAAATTATTCATCGACGGAAAGATGACTTGACCGATTAGCATTTTGGAGGTTAGGAAATCTGTCTTACCGGTAAACTAACACAAGCACATTGTAGTTTGTCCGATACGATAAATTCTCTAAACCTTCACAACGCGTAACCTCTTCTTCGTCCAAAGATGTTTTTTGCTTTTACTAACGGACGATGATATAAATTTTCGGTATCCTTTATGCAAAAACGAATCGATCTAGTACAACAAAATATGAGATGAGATTATTAAATTGAGCACTTGTATTGAATAGTCGTGCGTTACTTGAAACTTTCTTCGCGTGAAATATTTTGATCGAAATTTAGAGTTAGATCGGAGTTGAATCATACGATATAGATAACATTATATGTCTAATCGTGATTCAACTAAAAAATTTACATCCAACTTTAAACTCAAATCCGAGTATCTCACTCAAGACGATTTTCAAGCAACACCTATCAATATAAACCTTGGCGTATCTGAGCTCTAAAGTTAAATATACAATAGAATCAAAAGATATTAACATTGTGTGGATTGTTTTTTGAGTTCTCGTTTAGTTGTTCTTCTTTGTAGTATCAATTAAAACAATTTATAGATGCATTAATTTTATTTTTTGTCGATATAATAGGAGAAATTTGGATAAATCAAAAAGTATGGATGTATTAGAAAAAATTTTAATTTAACTCAAAGCTTTTTTATAATTTTACTCAAATTTTAATTTTAATTTAACTCAAAGCTGCTCCAGTAACAAGAAGTTCTGAGAAAAGTTGACAGAGGCATGTAAGGAATCATTGGTTGCGTTCAGCAGAGAAAGCTGTTTTGCAATTGTAAAACTCGTGAATCTGATTGGAGTATGCTCTTAATTTTGGTTAAATCCAAGAGCATATACCAATCAGATTTACAAATTTTACAACAGTTGCAAAGCAACTTTGCATGCTCAAACATGCTCAAACATGCTCAAATTTCAGTCATTAAAGATGTGATAAATAAATGTAATTTACAACACATATATATTCGTTAGTTTGTGTGTGTGTGTGTGTGTGTGTATATGTGCAATAAATACACATCCCATTTATACACAGTTCATTTTTATTTATAAGTTAGTGTAGTATGCGGCAATATTATATAATATTCAACATGATGACCCTATAAGGTAGTCAGTATATTAATGGAAGCATTATTATTGGATTAAATCACAATTGTAAGATGTTGTAAGTGAAGTTTATTTTTTAAAGCACAAAGGAATTGAGTGTTATTAAGAGTGTTATTAAGAGTGTTATTAAGAGTGTTATTGAGAGTGTTATTAAGAGTAATTTTTGTTTCCTGAGCAATAATCATGTATCTTATTACATGTATTTTATTTAAGGCTTCGGAGACTAGCTGGGATGCTAGGACATACAAAACAAGGGTTAGTATTGGTCTAATCCTTATAAAAAATTCTAATAAAATACAATAATAAGATATAAAGTTGTTTCTTCATATTAAATTAGTATCCAACTTGTCTCAGTAGAAGAATGGTATCGGATAGTTATTTTTTGCAATTAGAGCATATTTGTGTATTCTATAAGTAATCAATATGTCTCTTCCCTATGCCACTCTCTGTCATTTAACTTATATACACATATGCAGTATATACCTGAAATTTGTGTTTTACTAGCATCTAAGAAGGAAAAAGTTTAAGTGCTCAAAACCAATCTGAATTAGAATAAAAACCTCTCATTTTGGCATGCCTCCATCTGGCATCTCGATGGAGCATGAATGCTTGTGGGAGGAAAAACAAAGAGGGAACTTGCCTTCGGAATCCACACGATACTGTCTGGAGCCGTTTCTCTAAGTTCCCGACAATTCTGTCCAATGCTTAAATACTAGTACTATTTGCGTGATTTTATCGCATACAAATAGCGAGTATGTATGCGATACATATATTTGTTACTTTTTTTATTTATCTTTGACCTTTTATTTTTGTAACAATGTTATCAATCTCTGCGTCAACATTTGAGGCAGAGAAACAAGAGAGAGAGAGAAGGCAGTCTAACCAGGCGTTTGCAAACTCATTGTACTTTTGTTGCATTGCAGGGTCCACTTACTGAATACTTCTCGCTACAACAACGCGGCTGGTAATGGATATCGTGCAGGAGGACAATGGGCCCGCAACGTGAGCGGCGGAATCGGCAACACTTTGCAAAAGCCCAACTGGCAGTATGAAAACCTAAAACCGTTGAAGAAAAACTTTTATAATGTGCACCCGAATGTATCGGCACGTAGCGCCCAGGAAATTGAGTTATATAGACAAAAAAAGCAGATTACTGTAAAGGGTGACAAGGTTCCTGACCCTATTCAGTACTTTGAGGAGGGTAACTTCCCAGACAATATTATGCGAATGATCAACAAGTTTGGCTTCCACGAGCCAACTGCGATTCAAGCTCAAGGTTGGCCGATTGCCATGTCCGGACAAAACATGGTAGGCATAGGGCAAACAGGTTCGGGAAAAACGCTGGGTTACATTTTGCCCGCCATTGTTCACATTAACGCTCAAGAGCGCTTGAATCACGGTGACGGCCCAATCGCGTTGGTTCTCGCCCCGACCAGGGAACTCGCTCAACAGATACAATCGGTGACGCTCGATTTCGGCTCGTACGTAAGGAGCACCTGTATCTTTGGTGGTGCACCCAGGGGTGGTCAAGCGCGCGATCTGCGCCGTGGTGTAGAGATTTGTATTGCTACGCCTGGTCGTCTGATTGATTTTCTAGAACAGGGCACGACTAATTTGCGCAGGTGCACATACTTGGTGCTGGATGAGGCTGACCGCATGCTGGACATGGGCTTCGAGCCTCAAATTCGCAAAATTATCGAACAGATCAGACCAGACCGGCAGGTCCTCATGTGGTCGGCCACGTGGCCGAAAGAAGTGCGCAGTCTAGCGAAAGAATATTTAGAGAACTACGTTCAACTGAATATCGGGTCGTTGACATTAGCCGCCAATCATGATATTCTTCAAATTATCGATGTCTGTGAAGAACACGAGAAGGAATCGAGGTAAGGAGATTCAGTCGAGTTTTTATAAAGTTTAGACAAATGTTTAGTAAATTATTGTCTCAAAGTGATCGGGGCAAAAGAACACATACAACCTGATAAGTTATATTTATCATGTTGCGAAAGCGTTTCTATAATATGATGATATCGGTGTATGATAAACTATGATTAATGCATATACATATATTTACCTCTCTAAGAAGAACTGACAGTGCTGTTGCTCTAGCAACTTGATGTATACATGTAAACTTTTTTGTAATGTTTTCGTGTGTTTCTGTGTATAAACTTTAGGTTGAAGACTCTGCTGGAAAATATTTATGATGCTAACGTGGATGGCTGCAAGATTATAATTTTTGTAGAGACAAAGAAAAAGGTTGAGAGCATTACGAGAAGTATTCGGCGCTTTGGTTGGCCTGCGGTGTGCATCCACGGTGACAAGTCCCAACACGAGAGAGATTTTGTCCTTAGAGGTAAACATTTTTTGTTTTTTATAATCCATACAACAACAAAACATCCATCGAAATAATCGAATATTTTTTTATCTTATAGAATTTAGAAATAAAAGAAGCTCGATTCTTGTTGCAACTGACGTTGCTGCTCGTGGTCTTGGTAAGTGTTCTACAAACATATTTCAACGCGGTATTCTATTCACTATGTGTTTCACATTACTTCCGAGAATGCATCGATCTCTGGAAGGAATCGATGAATATTAATTGTTAGTTGGATGTGTTATGTCAGGGTGAAGTGGCGATGTTTAGTAGTGTCAAAGGTTGTTTGAACTTAATGATTAAACTAATGCTGCAGGAAAATATTCAAGATTAGAGTCGTAACCTTTCACAAAGTCTGATTGTTGTCGTTTCTTGTCGGACGACGAATTGCTTTCAATATGTTCAAAAATCACTGTTGTGATTGTCGTCGTTAATAGCAAGAGGAAGATAATATTTTAAAGCTTGTAATCGTTAGATTACCTACTTACTCCTTCCTTCCCTTTTTAATTCTCTCGTGATTTACACTACAATTTCTGGAAATATTGTTATGATAACTAATATTACTTACTGCGCGCGCGCGCGCGGTACTAGTATAACAAATTGAATATTTTTTTCCTTTTATGAGATTGTACGCGTCATAAATGCCTTATTACATTAAAGTTGTGCCGTTCTAGAGTATTCTAAAGCGAGAACCATTTACAAAACTTTATATAGCATTAAGCAAGATCTTTTATTATAACTTGTGTTTACTTAAAATCATAACATGGTCGTCCTTTGTTTCAGAGGCACATGGTGCACAAATAGCGTTGGGTGTGCGATGAATGCGATAAAAATGAAAAAAAGAAAAAAAAAAAAGAAACAAAAGAACACATTGCTCACACTCGCGCTCTATACACACGCGCAACTCTGTTTCGCGCATAAATGTGCCTCTGTATTCTTCGTGTTTGGATGCTTGTGATATGACTGAAACACGTCGCACTTCACAGAAGATACAACACAGGTAAATACATGATGTGTATTTACCACCATTGTACAGCTATGTGTGTGTGTGTGTGTGTGTGTGTGTATATATATATATATATATATATATATATATATATATATATATATATA